ACGGTCTTCATCATTTCATCGGTGAGCGAAGGCAAAAGGCTACGATTAAGGCCCATTCCAAGCATTTGGTACGTGTAAACCGATAATTCGGGGCTCAACGACATCAGAAATTGGTCCAGCTGACTCTCGTCTACGCTTGCATAATCAGCGGCTATCTGCAAATTAGTGTCAGCTAGATTTTGCACTGATGGAAAGAAAGACAGTACACGACTGGTCTGAAAGATTTTTCTAGAAAGTCAAATTTTCTAGATGGGTGAAGGGAGAGAAACAGAAAGTGCTGCACGTGGGTAAAAGAAGGGAAAGGGCGATATTATTAGGCTTATATTTCGATTTTTATAGATTTTTAAAAAAACCGTACTGCTGGTTCCCAATTTACTGAAAATCTTTATAACAGAATTAAAAACAAATGTGTTAAAATTAGAAATCAAATAAATTACAACCCAAGTCCAAAAATTTAAAGTAAATAACTGCAAATAAGCCGAAAAACTAAACTTAAATGCGAACTATGAATCGTTAACTTAAGGCTCAAAAATTTTAGGTGAATTATTTACTAATTATTAGAGGTAGCATAATTTTAAACACACGATTATTACTAAATTACTTTTGTCAGCATTATTAGCGAGGATTAATTGGAGAGAGAAATTTCCTGATCAAGTTTCTAAACGAACTTACTTTTAGACTTTCAAGCTCGCGGATGAAGCGTTTTCGCAGGAGGGCTGAAGTCATTTGCAAGTCTTGCTCGAGCTCTTTCTCGGTGAGCAAAAGCAGTAAGTCACCGTCAACCATATGCTTTGCAAATGCTTCCGCGTACGACTCAAAGCCAATCTGAATAAATAAATATTTAATGAATTTCGGAAGTCGGCGCATAAATTTTATTTTTTGACAGTTTTTCCAATTTTTTTTTTTATAATTGCACTTTTACAACTGAAACGTTTTGCAAGTACACGGGACTATTGATAACAGCGAAGCTCTTAACTGTGCAGCAACGCCTTGTGCTGGTGCCGTTGAAACCATAAGCCATGCATATTTCAGGGGTGTATTAAAATTCCTTGACAGAAGCTAGTAGAATGCGCATTCAAAATAATATTGCTTAATTTTTGATTGATTTTTGGAACTGATTAATTTTTGAAACTGGTATTGGTTGAAATTGTTTATTAGAAATTGGTAAATTTCTGAAAAGTGCTTTCTGTAATTCTTATTGCTACCTATTTAAAAGTCAGGCAATTTGATCAACTGCAGGTCGCTAGTTACTTTCTAGCTACAGACTTGACAATTTTTGCGGCTGTTCTGAAAATGCTAAGATGAAGACGAAGTTAAAAGACTGTGGAATGGAGTAAGGTTATCTACTTTCCAAGATCAACAAGACCACTTGGACAATCGGTGCACTAGTCAGCTACCGGTGATTCTTGGACAGACCTATGCGTCCAAGTACAGCCAGGCCGAGTTGATTGCCACCTGTGTGATTTTTCCTTTAATAAAAAACTGGCTTTTGGAAAAAATAAGAAAATGATGTGCCGGAAACAAAAAAACAGAGAAGCATGAGAAGCGGAAAACG